GGCCTCCCACAGTGCTGGGATTACAGGCTTGAGCCACCGCGCCCAGCCAATAAAAAAGTTTTTAAAAAGAAAATTAAAGTGCTTAGAACAGTGCCTGGAATGTGGTGAGCACTCTGGAAGTGTTTGCTATCGTAGCATGTGGCAAACCGCATTCTGACTCTGCCACTTATTAGCAGTGTAATCTTGTGCAAATTACTTTACCTCTCTGAGCTTCAGTTTCGTCCTCTATAATGTAGGAGTAACCTCACAGGCCTTGTTGCAGAGATGAAATAAAGTTGAATGGATGATGTGTGGGAAATACTAAGCACAGTGCTTGGGATGGAATAAAGATCCAATAAATGCCAACTATTTTTATTTCTATTATTTTATTGTCACATTTCTTTCATCAGGTTTAGACTTGTACCTCTTCAATCCAGTTTATTCCAGTTCATTCCCCAATGGCAGCAAAAGTGGTCTTTTTAAAAAGTAAGCAGCCTCAGAATGAATCTATAGTGACAGAAACACATCAGTGGTTGTCTGGAAGTGGAGTGGAGGGAAGATTAACTGCAAACAGGTACAAGGTAACTTTCTAGGATGAGAAAAATGTTTTATATTTTGACTGGTGGTGGTTGCACAGGTGTATTCATATGACAAGACTCATCAGACTGTACATTTAGATGGATGCATTTCTTTTTATGAAAACTTTACCTTAATAATGTTGATTAGAAACATCATACACCAGGGCCTGTTGGGGAGTTGAGGACTAGGGGAGGGATAGCATCAGGAGAAATACCTAATGTAGATGATAGGTTGATGGGTGCAGCAAACCATCATGGCACATATATACCTATGTAACAAACCTGCACGTTCTGCACATGCATCCCAGAACTTAAGTAAAGTATAAGTTCTGGGATACATGTGCAGAACGTGCAGATTTGTTACATAAGGTGTTCTTAGGCAGGTCACCTTCCTCTCTGGGATACCGGCATGTTCTGCACATGTATCCCAGAACTTAAAGTATAATAAAAAAAAAAAAAGAAAAAGAAAAAAAGGTAAGCAGCCTCCCCGGTCATCTATTACATTATTATATTTTCTCTTCTCATGGCACTTACCAATATATAAAATTATTTCATTCATTTTTTTGTAAGTCTGTTGCCCAACTCATCCCTCTATTAGAATATGAACTCTTTGAGGGCAAGCACTCTGCCTATTTAGCACATAGTAGGAAGCTGATAAATTCTTCTTGGCAGACTGACTAATGATGAACGTCCATCAATGGTTCTACCTCCAAATGATCTGTTGATTTCATCTATTATCATTATTTCTGCTAAGATCATTTCAGCTTAGGGCACTGTTATCTCTTACCTCAATCATGCAATGGCCTCCTTGCTTCCACCATTGCTCCTTCATTTCAGTCTCCACAGAGACCCCAGTGGTCTTTTGAAAATATAAATCAGATAGTATTGCTCCCCTACTTCAAAAATGGAGATAAAAATGATTAAGAAGCTGAAGAAATGAACAAGAAAAGGCAGTTTAAAACTCCAGGAAATACAAAAGTTATGTAAGAAAGGTCATGGTCTTAATATGAAATCAACCAAAACGTAACTCTGGAGCAGAGATCACTCTCCGCTCATAAGTTCAAAAAATACCCCAGCTATTAACGATGAGGTGGAGAGTTGGCCCTCAGACCAAAAAATTAAGTTTTCTATCTTCTAAAGGTTGCCACTTTAGTGTCTGCTATTCCAGTCTACATGCCCTTTATATCTAGCAAATTTCTACGACCTTCCTGCCGTGGCAGGACACACGAGTCTCCTGTGAGGTCATCCAGAGTCTCATCTGCCTAAACATATAATGTAGCTGTGACTCTCTTGAGTCATCTCCCCACGGTGTGCCCCAAGGTGTTTTCAGAAAGTGAGTCGTGGTCCCTCCTGTCTCGGGAACCCAAAACATCACCTTATTCTCTCATCAGAGTCAATTTCCTTGTCATGGGGAAAGTCTCTGTTTCTCTGAGTCATTTGGTACACCCATAAGTCACATGCTGTTTTAATTATTTCCCCAAACTCTATAATTTTTCTAAAGATATTAGGGTTGGGGGAAACTAAAGCTGGAGAAAGTGCAGGAAATTTATGTGCTTTATCCCATCAAACCTCTCACCCTAAGTAAAGAAGTACCGAATTGGCTATCTACTTGCATGGAAGAAGGGGAAATAGAAAAACAGGGAGGAAGAAAAAAGTGTAAATTATTATCTCAAAATATTACCTAGCCAGTTTCCCCTTAGCAAATTTTTGTGTGTTCATAAAGTTTATGTTTGACCTTTGTTCAACCCTCTCAACAGCACATTGTCTGAGTTTTGCATTTTTCAAGGTAGTAGACATTGTGACTGATTTTCCAACATCCCATCTGTTCCATGATTAATCTAAGCAATTCATGGCAATTTACCTCTTTGTCAGGGGTGGACAGCCTAAACCAATTTGGGCCAATGAGATTCAAGGAGACACATAATGAGGGCTCTAGGAAAGAAACTTCTTCAATCTTGAATGCTGTGGAAAGGCAGGCTCTTTCTTCTTCTGTAAGTTGTGAATGAGGAAATGTAGAGTTCCCATTGCCTGGCAGTCACACCACAGCAGCAAAGGGTAAAGCCAAAACTGTGGGCAGCAGAGCAAAGAAGTAGAAAGAGACTACCATCTCGATGCCATCATTCAGCCGCTGGGCGCTGCCCTCACTCTTCACTGTCTAAGCCAATGTGAGTTGGCTTTTCTCCTACTTGTTCACTGCATTCTATCTGATTTAGAATTTGGTGTCAGGAACAGAAGTGCTGCAAACAACAAACCGTAGTGAGTTGCCCGCTAGCCCCCCAAAGATATATCTACAAGCTAACCCTTGGAACCCGTGAGTGCTACCTTATTTGGAAAGAGTCTTTGTAGGTATTCTATTATTTTCAGATGTTGAAGAGACCCAAATGAAAGATATTTTAGTTAAAAAATTCACACTTGACCTTTATTATATGACCATTTATCAAGATCAATAAAAGTATTTTCAACAGAACTTCATAGATGCAGGAGTTTAAGTTTTTTTTTTTTTTTTTTAATTAGTTCAATGACTTATTTGACAATGTTACTAACTTCAGAAATCGATTTTCCTGTAACTAAAAAGAATCCTGGTCTGGTAGTCTGAATACATAATTTCTATCCTTGTCTTAGTTACTAAGCTGTCTTAGGCAGGTCACCTTCCCCTCTGAGTGTTAGTTACTTCTTCTGTGGAACTTTTGGTGGCTCCCAATTGCCCAGGTGCATCAGAATCTTCTAGGTCCTTGTTACAAACACATATTTCTGGGTCTTCTCTCAGTCCTACTGGATCAGATTTTCTAATATTGGTGCAGGAGTCTGTATTTTTAGTTAACTGGGTGTTTACAAGGTACAGCCAAGTTTGTGAAGTATTGGATGAAGACTTCCAGGGTCCTTCCTAGCTCTAAAAATTTGTATTCTGATTTCTATTCCTTCTATCACTGTTTGTCCTAACTCCGCTTCTAGATGTTGCGCTAAAACAAAGCAAAGCAAAACACAAAATAAACAATAAAAAACCAAGACCATGGTTTAATCATCTTTATATTCCCCCAGCACCTACAAAGTGCCTGGTAGGCAGTAGGCATTCAATAAATATTTGAAAAATTACTCAGTGATGATTAAACAAATGAATGTTATTTCATGTGGATCCCAATCACCTATAGATAGAAGAATCTAAAAAGAGAGAAAATATTTTAAACTTTTGTCTGATTTAATCTTGCACTCCCTATCTGCCCCCACTATGTACTTCAGTAATGGGTTATGTGAATGAAGTTGTGCATATTAAGGGACTCAGTAGGAAGGTGGTTAGATTCTCCCGGGGGCTAGATTATCCCACAGTATTTCTCAGTGGCAGGGACAACTGAAAGGGCTCATGATTCAGCAGGAGCTGGTTTTCTCCATGACTTTTCCAGGACCAGAAGAAGCCATATCCTGACTGGGTGGCAGATGTCCTTGGAGCCATTGCTACAGATCACCGAACCTGCAAAGGCCACCTCAGGTTTCTGTGGGGCCCCAGAGGGTGGGAAGAGGCATTCATCTTCCGTTAGAAGTTACTGGTAAATTTGACAGCAGTGGGTGTCAGCTGAGCCAAGTGTCCTTTGCAGCCAATGCCCCCAGGATATCTGATACCACCGTTTGTGACCCTAAAGTCCTTCTATCCCCTCTTTTACGCTCCACTGACCTCTTGAGCCCCCGCAGTTTAGACACTGTCTGCTGGCCTTGGAAGGTACCGGCTAAGGATGAAATCTGTCACAGGGGTGGGCAGCTTAGCCAGAGGGAGGTAGAGGAGCTTGGCATCCAGGCCAGGGTTGTAGCGGATGCGAGGGCTCCGGGAAACAACAGCATGCTCCATGCTGTTGATGACATCTCTGACTCTGGGCTCTGCCAACTGAGTCACGTTTTTCAATTTGTCGGTATCTGTTTGAGGACACAGAGGAGAAAAAGGCTCTGTTATTCTTCATAAAAGACGGTTTCTTCTGAATTCCAACCAACTTCCCTTTCTATCGGATCCCTGATCCAACATTTCAGGCAGGTCTGTCACACGCTCCAGGTGGCCCCTTAAACTAACACACATTTATCAGACTATTATAAATAATCTTAGCCTGGCCAACATGGCGAAACCCCATCTCTACTAAAAATACAAAAATCAGCTGAGTGTGGTGGCACATGCCTGTAATCCCGGCTACTTGGGAGGCTGAGATACAGGAATCACTTGAACCTAGGAGGCAGAGGTTGTAGTGAGCCGAGGTTGCACCAGTGAACACCAGCCTGGGGGACAGAATGATATGCTGTCTTAAAATAAAATAAATAAATAATCTTATTTCTCTTCCTGAATTCAGGAAGGAGTTCTAGACCAGCCTGGCCAACATGATAAAACTTCATCTCTACTAAAAATACAAAAATTAGCCATGCGTGGTGGCATGGTGGCATGTGCCTGTAATCACAGCTAATCGGGAGGCTGAGGCATGAGAATCACTTGAACCCGGGAGGAGGAGGAGGAGGTTGTAGTGAGCCAAGATTGTTCCACTGCATTCCATCCTGGGCAACAGAGTGAGACTCCATCTTCCGCCCCCCTCTACCCCCGCCAAAAAAAATCTGTCCTGGAAAATAACAAAGATGATTAATAGCAGAGTGGACACTGGGGGAGTACAAAATAGAAAACATGGTGGGACAAGGGGCTTTTTTTTTTTTCCTTCTATGTACTTCCTAAAGTTCCCACATTTAAACAAAAGCATCCAGGAGAAAATATTATTAAAAAATAGTAATATTGCCCCTACCTCAGTCATAAGACCATTGTGGACTCAAATAATCTAAGGCATAGAGAAGCAGCTGGTAGGGCCCTAACAAATGTGAGAGGTTGTTCTGTTTGCACTGGCACCCAGGGGTGGAGATGGGGACAGAGCACCCGAGTAGTGCAAGTCTGCGGAAGCTCATGACATAACCACATAACCAGGAGAAGGGCCGCACCACACACCCACCAGGCCCTCATCTGCACCCTCACCCCAGGACAGGAGGATTCATGCTTCATTGAGAGCCCTGAGGACTCTAGAGAAAATGGTGCTTCAGCAGGTTGCCCTGATAAGGGATGAAAACTTGAAAATGGAGAGGAAGTCAAAGCTGCCCTGACTTTGAGAATGGTCCAGGCAGGCAAGGAATTGACCTGCTTGGGCTCGGGGCCCTTGAGGGTGGCTGGTGAGAATGGGGCGGTGTCACTTAAGTCCCCTTCACCCCAGACTCTGAGAAACTCCATTTTCTGTTTCCTGGAAAGAAAACCGATGCAGGGAAAACGCCAAACTACATTTTGGAATCTCAACAAGTCACATAAACGTAAAGCCAGACTGCCTGCGAAGCAGTGAAGTCTTAGGAAGGCACACCCTTCCCTCTGACCATGGAGCTGGCACAGAGGCCACCAGCAGCAGGGCTGAGGGTCGACGGAATCGTTCAGGATGCCCAGGGGGCTGAGTCTGCCCGCTTGGAGCCAGGGAAGCCTTTGTGGGCTGAGGAGGCGGAGCAAGCTAACATGATGAGATGGGCGGGGGCCTGGGTTCTGAGAGGTGAGGAGGGCTAGCACAGGCAGTGGGTGGAAGAAGGTACCCCAGACATGGGAAGCAGTATGAGGTACATGCTTTCATTGTTTTCTCAAACAGCTATTAGCTGCCATTCAGCGCTGGGCACCCTGCTGGGCCTGGAGTGGGAAGGGGGAGGGAAGGACACATCCAGCCCTGTCACTCTCCTCCACCGTGAGGAAGGACACAGGCTTTGGAGTTGGGCACGTGGGAAAACATTTTTGTTATGGGGAGAATTAAGTAAGATAAAGTCTATAAAAGTACCAGGTCTGGTCCTGGGGCTTACAAGCCAGGGGCCTGTTTGATTGCACAGCAACTTGCTGAGTTGGTACCCAGTGATGCTCCGTGACAACTCCTAAATATTTCTTCAGTCTGTTGCACAGCTGCCCCCAACCACCAGAACCACGATGACTTAGAACTTCATGTTTTTATTGTTCCGTCACCGGGTTTCTGCAGTAGTCTCCCAGGTGGCCTCTTTATCCTTCCCATCGTGACACAAATCTGATCTGTCATTTCAGAGCCATTTACAAGGCTCCCCAATGCCCTCGGGATAAAATCCACACTCCTTTAGCCATCAAAGCCTCTTATGATCTGACTCCTAATGTCTCCCCTCCTCAGTCACCACCCACAGCACTCCTCCTGCCAGACTATAATGGCAATGGCAAAGGTTTGCTTGGTTCTTACTGTGGCAGAGCTGAGTACTTTTCATTTCTGTTTAATTCTCCTAACAATCCAAGAGAGAGGAATTGTACTTTATAAATGGATAAACTGAAGTTTGGAGAGCTGTGTAACATGATTAGAGGGACTGCTGGAATGCAAGCCTGAATCTGCACTGCCTCCAAAAGCATACAATGCTACGTACGTCAGGTCTCCAACATGTGGTTCATGCCCTTCCTCTTGTGTGAAACATCCGCCACCTCTTTCCCTTTTGGTGTACTCGTATTCATCCTTCAAAACTCACTAAGGCATCAACTGTCACCTCTGTGAGGCTTCTGTCGCGGAATGAAGTCTGTGTTGTTGCTTTGCCTTGTATGCATGTCCATTATTGCAAGATTCTTCATGCAGTGGTTTATTTGCTTTCACATCTTCCCTGCTAGTTTCCTGGAGACTGTCTCATCTCTGTATCCCAATAAACACTGGGTAACGGAAGCGAAAACTCTCATATAACCACTTGGGAAAACGTTTATCTAAATGTAGTTGATCACTGCCTGAAAACTTTCCTCTGAAATGGTGATGTGGACTACAGGTGAATTGGCGTATGATATTTTACAAACCCAATCCTTACTATTCTTTAGTATAACAATACGAGCTTTTGGACAAGGTTTTCAGAGGAGTTTGCCTTTATACATAGTCTTTCATGGACCACACTAAAGACTCTGCAAGCTCTCTTCACCCTGAGTGCTTACTTAGAAAATGACTTAGTAAAGTTTCTAGATACCGGCTGAATCCATTTCACTCAGCCTCAGGGCAGCTCCACAAATAATTGAAACTACTCTTTGCTAAGAGAGATCACACAAAGGATAAATATTCTTCCCCCCGCACTCTAACATCTACTCTCCTTGTTCCCAACAGCTGCAGATTTCCCTTTGGGGACCTATGCCTCCCCCACACTGAGTCAGTCGGTCTGGGCAGAGCACGTGGCCCAGCCTGCGCCACACTTTCACATTCCCCTAGGCACAGTGATTGGCTTAGGGTTGGGTACATGTTGTGGTTGCCTATGATTCGGCTACCATAGGTCCTCCAAGTCAGAGTGTACATTAGGACTTTTGAGAGACGCACTGGAAAGAACTCTCCTATTTTCCCAGCAGACCTCGCCCTGGGTGGAGGCAAAGAGATGCTGCAGCCATGTGGCCCCCATAGGGGAGAGAGCTTAGAGACTGGAGTCAATGCAAAAGAAGCAGAGCCAAGAAATGGGTGCATCCTGACAGCGTCATTTGTGGGCTGGGTTGGGTTGCACCTGAAGCTTATCTTGCTCAACTTTTTAGTTAGGTGAGGCAAGAAATTCCTTTTCTGCTTAAATAATTTGCATTGGATCTTCTGTCCTGAGTAAGTCCCAACTAATGTAAATCCTTAGATGTTTTCTTCTCACAGAATCCTAACATGCCTAGCACTAAAAGATAACTTTATCTAAGGGGTACTCCAAATTTTTCCTGGAGGCTTCCCAAAAGCAGTGAATGAATGACTCCTCCATCCACCAGGTTCTTCAAGCTGCAAACGTGGCACTCATCCTTGATGGCTTCCTCTCCCTCACCCCTTCATCCTCAGTGTGCTTTGATGCTCTAATTTATTCTGTATACACCAGCTACCCACCATTGCTCCCCACCGGCTGGTTCCTTTGAAGTTCGACAAATGGAGTTTTCTGCCTCAGAGCCTTCCTGCAGAAAAAAGTCCCTACCCAGCTCCTTTTTCCCTTTCCCAGCAACACCTAACTCTTATTCCTCCTCAAAGTCAGAGAAGCTCCCCACTTCACCATCATCTGAATTGGGGCACAACTTCCCTCTCCATTCTTCTTTCACACCCCTCTTTCTCCTCTGTAGCACATATCCACGTTTACCATTAAACACGTGTTTTTATTAATGTTTGTCTCTCCTACTGAGTCCTAAGCTACAGTCAGTGAGGGTCAAGCATACCACTTTGTCCACTCCAGCTCTCCGGCCCCACACATGCTTGGGACATGGCAGCCTTACAATAAAGCATGTATGTATTCAGTGAAAAAATGTCTGTCTTGGCTTTGTGTTCTGTTGACGTATGATGTCCAGCAGACAATTTTTTGCAGCACAAAGTTTTGGGGCAGCAGGGTAAACAGCTACCATGTCCCCTTTACCCTCCAAAAACAGCTACAGTTCACAGGAGACCCTCAGCTCAGTGAGAGAAAGAGAGCTGCCTAGACACCCTCCCTTTTAAATCCCCATGTGCTCTTTTTCTTCTTTATTAACAAGCACTCAGAGTGTGCAAGTTACTTTACACATGCTAACCCTCACAGCAAGCCCATGAGGGAGGCACTATCTTTGGCTCCATTTTGTAAATGAGAAAACTGAGGCATGGGAAAACTAGGTAATAGGTCCAAAGTCTCCTAGCTGGTAAGTCGTAGAGCCAGCACTTGATCTCTTGGTTGTATTTATCTCAGTGCATTTTCACCTGATTCCCCTGCATCATGATGCTGTGGGGGTAGGTGCCAGGAGTGGGCCACATTGCTCTTAACTCCCTGTACTGCTCCAGCAGTGATAATTCTGCCACTTGCTATCTATTCTCAAACCCCAGCTCTACCACTGTGTGACCTGGAGTCCTGAACTCCTCTGAGTTTTGTCTCACCATCTGTGAATGGAAAGCCAGCCAGTGACCTCAAGACCAACCCGCTCCCCTCAGAGACCCTCTCCAGCCCCAGGAACTTACAGATGCGGAAGTACTCCTCTCCATAGCTGTCCCGGGTCTCCTGAGGCAGCCTCTCCCAAAGCTTTTGCAGGCGTGACTCCATGCCCTCCTTGCCCAGAATGGCTGTCCGGTAGTTCCCTGGCTCAATGATGCTGACCTTCACCCCAAAGTAGTAGAGCTCACGCCTGGGAAAGACGAGTTGCACTCAGTCTGGGCTCCGAGATGACAATCATCATGGAGAGTCACCTCTGGATAGGCTTGTCTTTCAGGAACCTCGAGATGCTTCCCCCACCCCTGCACTTGGCCCTGGCATTGTTGTTTTGCAAATAATCCCCTCCTGAGGCCCTCAGCCCTTTCCCAAGCTGGCTCAGCAATCTCTGGGCAATTTGCATGAGGCATGACCAGTGGAAAGAAGTCAATAGAGAATCTAGGCCGAAGTCTGGTCTCCCACCAGGTCCCTCCCATTATCAACCCTTCACCCAACACCCACATGGTGAAGGGCGTGGGTCTACACAAGGCCTGCATGCTCCTCTGAGGACCTCCCAGAGGGGACCTCTGCCTCCAGGCCTGTCTGTCTGTTTGGAGGACTCTCCCTCCTCCTCTCACAGGCCCCAGCAGGGTTTTACTTACCCTGTGCAGCTCAAGGGAAGGCCCGCCTGATGCCTCATAATTCCATTCTACCTCTTCTCCTCAGCTCTTCTCTTAGTCTTGGAGAAAACACCTTGACGTCTAACCTTCCTTCTGCTATTGTGTCAGCTTCTTGTCTGCAGAATTCCACTGCCCACATGCTGTCACTCCCAACTCTCTCTGACCCCTGGGATTTCCACCCAGAATGGTTTAGTACCAGGGCCCAGTTACCTAATGCTGTCAGAGAAGGCTTCGACGCCAAACTTGGAGACGCAGTAGCCACCACCGATGACAGCCACACGACCACCAGAGCTGGACATGTTGACAACCCTGCCCCGGGCTCTCCTGACCATGGGCAGCATGTGAAGGGTCACTTCGATCAGTCCCACCAGGTTCACATTGATCACCTTCACAAAGTCCTCCTTGGTCAGCCATTCGTTGGGACCACTGGGCAGGCCCACACCAGCATTATTCACCAGGGCCCAGAGGCCTGGGGGCAAGATAGAGAACCACACAGAAATCAGCAATGGGTCTGGGAAAGAACCAAGGTCTGCTCCCCACCGGCTCAGGGCCCTCAAGGATGATTGAGCAGGTGCACAAGACATAACACGGTCAGGTTATAACATAAAACGAAAGTGTGCCTTTTACTAATTGGTTTTCCCCAAAGGGACAATTTTTCCTGATACACGTAAAATCTGCCAGCTAGCTGGGGCTCTGTACCAGCTATAATCTAGGTGTTAGCTCACAGTATTTCAGCTATCAGCTTTGGGACAAGAGTTTCGTTTTTATACCAATGAATTAATGTTTGGATCCTTCCCTATCCTGCTTCGTCCTCTCTATTCACTTAAGTATAACCAACTGCATTCACATACTACCAAAATCAGTCTGTTCATTCATTCATCTTCACACGTTTATTCATGCACGCATCTAGAAGGTGACAATTACAGGGCGAAGGAAGCCAGGTGTAGTGTCTTACACCTGTAATCACAACCCTTTGGGAGGATGAGGTGGGAGGATCACTTGAGTTCAGGATTAGAGACCAGCCTGAGCAACAGAGTGAGAGCCCCATTTCTACAAAAAAAAAAAAAAAAAAAGTCAGGCATGGTGGTGCATGCCTGTAGCCTTAGCTACTTGAGAGGCTGAGTGGGGAGGATCACTTGAGCCCAGATTAGAGTTTACCTTGTTCAAAATTACACTGAGCTATGATGGTGCCACTGTACTCCAGCCTGGCTGAGAGAGTGAGACCTTATCTCTAAAAATAAAATAAAATGATATAAAATAAAATACAGGGTAAAGGAGATACAAAATGAACAAAAACAGCATCTTACCCCTGAAGGAACTCACAAGCCAGAAAGGAAATAATACTGTTTATAAACAAATATATAAAATATTTAAATAAGATTTGTATGGAAAATGTGATGAGGACTCTGAGATATTTCCATTGGGTTGGTACAAATGGAAAGAAATAATGCTAAGTGTTGCCATTCAACTCTGCAGGGGCCCAGGGTTGAAGAGTTTGATGTACAGTCCTGGTTTTACTTCCAGCCTTGGACAAGTCACTTCCCTCTCTGGGCCTCAGGTTCTTCATCCAGTGGACTGCAACAGTTGTTTCCAGACTGTGTTTTGCAAGCCTGCTAGGAGGAGGAAAATGCAGGAGAAGCTCTCCTCTCATTTGTTTTACATACTGGGCTTCCAAAAAATTCCACCAGAGGGAGTGTAATACAAAGGATATACTGGAAACTCCTCTAAATGCTCCTCAAGGACCCCTTCCAGCTCCTTCATGCAAGAGTTCCCCAAGCCCTACTGCTCTGGTGATCCTCCCCACAGCCCCAGCCTCTGCAGCCTCCAGGTACTCTGCAGGCACATCCCACTGTCTCCTGAAGGCAGATCTCAATGCAAACAAATTCTAGTCCACCCCTTCCCCTAGGTCTGGGGTCCCCACCCAAGTCATGCCCCTACCCAATCTCCCTGTCTTTCTCTATCCAGGAGCAATGAGAAGCATGCAAGAACTTCATCTCCCATGCCCCTACCCACCCCAGTTCTCAGTTTTTCTTAGACCAGGATATTGCCCAGTGGCCTAGGCAAAATAATGGTCCCTCGAAGATGTCCCCATCCTCATTATCTCTGGAACCTGTGAATCTGCTGGGTTACATGGGAAAGGGGAATTAAGGTTGCAGGGGGAATGGAGGTTGCTAATCAATTGTCCTTAAAGTTAGGGAGGAAGCTAATACAGGAAATTATCCTAGATTAATCCGGTGAGCCCGGTATAATCATGAGTCCTTCTAAGTGGAAGAAGGAAGCAGAAACCAGAGAATCAGAGAGACAGAGAGAAATGTGAAAAATACTGGCCCCAACCTTGCGGGCCTTGAAGATGAAGGCAGCAGGCCAGGAGCCAGGGGATGTCAGCTGCCTCTGGAAGCTGGAAAAGGCAAAGAGACGAAATCTCCTCCACAGCCTCCAGAAGGAACACAGCTCTGCTGACTTTGATTTTGGATCAGTGAGACCCATTTTGGGCATCTGTCCTCCAGAACTAGATAATACGTTTGTATTGTCTCCAGACCCTACCTTTGAGTTATTTGTTACAGCAGTAACAGGAAACTAACATGCTAAGTGAGGCATTAAGGCAAGTGGCTCAAGGCTGAATGCAGGGAACTGGCTGAGACAGCCTGCTGAAGACAGAGGCTCACTCCTGCTGAATTATTAATTAATTAGCTCATTTAAAAACTACGTATTGAGTACCTTACTAGGTGCCAGACATTATTCTAGGTATTAAGGACATGCAGTAAATAAAAGAGACAAAAATCCTTCTTCCCAGGAAGCTTTATTCTAGTAGAGGAACAGACAATAAATAAGTAAAATCTGTTGTACTTTGAATAGTGATGAGTGCTAAGGAGAAAAATCAAGCAGGAAGTTACTGTCGGACTCCCCCTGGCTCCAGGACTCTGCTGCCCTGACCTGTACATGGGCTCCAGACTAGCTCCTTTAGGAGGGAGGACTTCCTCTGGGCTGCTGCTTCTGCAACGCAGCCATCCTGTTCATCCTGTTCCTGTGCCCACACCCTGTGTGCTGGAAGTGCATGAGGCAGGTCCCCACACAGTCCTGGAGCAGCCTCAGTCCACAGCTTCCTTTCCCAATAGGAGCAGCCACTCTGACATACTTGCCCTGAAGTCAAACCAACACCCACCATGATGTCAAGAACTGCCTGACACAGTCAAAGAGAGAAAACGCACCCACTCATGGGATCCAACCTCCTGTCTCATTCCCCTCTCCCTATCCTGATCCCAACAAGAAATGTACTTGTATTTCCCCAGGAGCTGATGGTTAGGACTGCTGAAGCTTCAGAGAGGCACATTCGTTTTTCAAGGTTTGGACACACAGAACACATCTTCCCCCATCATTTCCTATTGAGACCTCTTTCCTGTCTCTTTGAGTTTCCGGGGCAGAAAGCTTCCTTGGGAAATCACCCCTACATGTGAACAGGCCAAACCATGCAGTGGCTTCCAATCAGATTGAGGCAGAGCCCTTTCCCTGAGTCACCTCTCCCACTCCATCTGGACGTCAGGGTCTCTGATACTGTCAGATGCTTTGGGAGAGAGGAAGAGAAAGAAAGAGAAACCAAGAAAGCCAAAGTGCAATTCACCCCACCTTGCTCGCCCACTTGGTCCCTCACCCACTGGGCCGCCGCCTTGATGCTTTCGCTTTTGGTGACATCCAGTAGGGTGGTCCGCAGCCGACAGGAGGTATCCTGCTGAAGTTTCTGGGCTCCCTCCTCAGTGAAGCAAGCAGCCAGCACCTGCATACCCCGATCAACCAGCTGCTTGGCCAGCAGGTTCCCGAAGCCAGAGTCACAGCCTGTGATGAAGACATACTTCTCTGAGAGATTGCTGACCAGATTGCAGTTCTTGAACCAGCGGTACATAAATGAGAGGTCCATGAGGGCCGCCATAAGGCAGGATCAATGTGACGGCCAAGAGGGACTGGGCTCAGGAGACACCAGGGAAGAGGCTGGTTCTCTGAGCCCTAGCCAGCAGTCTGCGGGAACCCACCAGGAAGAACAGCTCTCCTCCTTCCTAAAGCTTGCAACAAATCTAGGTCCCTGGGTGAGCCACGCTGTAATTTTTATAGGTGGATGCATCATCACAGCAATTAGCCCAGATGCAAGAAATTCAAGTCCAACCTGAAGCTTGTCACCTCTGACAGCCCTGGTGGCTGCCTCCCACTCTCCTCCTGCCCCGATGGGTGAAGGTGACAAGAATGGGAAAGAATCCACTGGTACAATGTTGGTGATGAGTGGTGGCACACTCAGGCAGTGTAAGGGACGCAAATGAAAGAGGAGGACTCACCCCCGACAGCTCCCCTAGAAATCTTGCCTCCACATTGCCCCCAACCCTGCCTGGGTATTTTGGTTCCCAGGGGTCAGATTCATTTGTCATGAGTGCAGGTATGTAAATAAGTTTAAGTTTTATTTTCAGGGAAAATGCTGAAAATGAATTCATTAATGCAAAACAAACAACACTGGTTCTGTGCATTCCAAACCTCAAGAGAAACAATATGAGGTCAGCTCTTCAGAATTCTTAGGTAAGTCTCCATCATGAGAGAGGATGAAAAGCAATAGATTCCTCCCAGTGTGGATGCACCTCCATTGTTCTGAGGCCATAGGCAGCAGGGCCATTTTACAGGGGAGGCTGGTCATGTGAAGCCCAGCTACCAGAAAGCAGAAAGACCTGGGGCCACTCAGGCCTGATGCCCTAGGGAAGGGGCAGTGATAGTCAGGTCACCAGTAAGCAGCCCCAGGCCAGATGAATGAGGAGGGATTATGAGTTCACTGGGCAGCTGAGGGAAGGGTCTGGCAGAGTCTTGGCTTTGAGAAGGGATGAGATATAGGAGGAGCAGAGAACTGGGGCCAGAGACATAGAAAATTCTCAGGGTCGGGACTTGGAGGAGAAGGAGAGATTCCAGGCAATTTAGCAAATAATTTGCAGAAAGCTAAGAGGGAAGGTGGTAAAGGAAAGAAAATTAGGAAATCAGAGGTGTAAGTAGTGACAGAATTGCTTAAGGTGCAGGGACAGAATGATGCTGGAGCCACCGGTGTTCTTTGGATCAACATCTAGGGTCACCATTGCTTGGGATGAGCCTGGTCCCAACTCACACCTTCATGGCTTAGAAAGCCTGACACAGAAATGGGACCACAAAGTTGTCTAGCATGAAGGGACAAAGGATGTTTCTCTGTGATCCACCATTTGCCAAGTCTGACCAGCACAGAATGAGATAAAGCAGGTGTCACCTTGGAAAGTCCCACAGGTTTTGGCCATTCCTTACCAAGAGAGGGGAGGAGGCCAGATTATGAACACACCCCGAAGAGCAGACCCAAAGCTTATAGGGGATGGAGGTGGGAAATGGTAGAAAACAAATTGCACTGACTTCATAACCACCCCAAGGCAGAACACCTCCTATGTGGGATCTGGGAAGCATCTCCTAGGCTCTGTCCACCTCCTGGGTGAATAAACGAAGTCTTGGCTTGGCAAGGTCATACCATGTCACTCAAGGGCTGAGCAGGCCCAGCTCAGTGGGTATCCCAGTTCTTGAGGACACAGGTGAGGTCCAGGAGTTGGCTCTGAACCTAAAATGAGGATAACTCAGAACTGCTCCAGCACAGGCCTGGTCCTGACTCAGCACCTCCAGGGCCTCTATGCTGGCAGTGTTCCTCTGGCCTAAACTGAACACACAGCCCATGAGAGTCGGGGGAGTGCGTGCTGTAGGACCACATAGAACGCTCTTCCTTTCAGAGGTAGAAATGTGTCCCTCTCTCAGGTGACAGGTCTGCCTGCTGAGCTGGCCCCTAAGGCCTGATAGGTCACACTGGTAGCTGCACTCCCCATCCCCACCCTGTGCACACAGGTGTCTCAGTGGAGAGGAGCCCTCTCCTCTGCCAGGCCATTTCCCTCTGGTGGGAGGGCATAGACCGGCAAGGGCTAAGGCACACCCTGATGAGGTGGACAGGAGGAAGAGCAGGTTTGGGCTCACCCACCCCCAGTTGCTCAAGACCTTCAACAAATGTGGATTCTTCAGGGTGAGAGGTGGGCCATGAGGCTCAGAACCCAAGGAAGTGGGAAGCCATTATCTGTGATTGGGTCTTCCTTCCTAAGCAGCAAAACCTTGTTCTTTTCTCCTAAAATCACCAGGGTCCTGAATAATGTCTCAGGAAAAACCTAGAACAGAGGTAAGGTACAGGACCTTGAACTTGAGAGCTCCCTCCCACCACTCTATTTCTCTGAAACAGCACCCCTCGCACGTGCCATGACATTAAAGTGAGGGCCAGTCACTGAGTACCACAAAGAGGTCGCTGGAGAGAAGAGGACCCAGGTGCCCCAGAGAAGGGATCTGGGGCCTGCCAGTGTCTTAGTGACATGCCATGGCTTCCTTGTCTCTCTGTCTACTCCTGTGACCCCAGGCTACTTGACTCATTCCTAGAAAGGAAACAATTGCCTCTCACCTTGGTGGCAGAAAGGTGAGAACACAGAGGGCTGAAATAGGGCAGGGATAATCCAACTTCTCTCTTCAGTTTTCTTCCCAGTTCGTCCCTCCCATCCCCAAACCCCATGAAGGCACCTGCCTCTTCCTCCCTCAGGTTCACAGCCCACACTCCCCTCCAACTAGAAAGCAACTTGCTGCACATGGCTGCCCTTTTCAGCTTTTACTCTAGAATAAAAGTAACCAAAGAAACCCATGGTTTTGAGAGAGTCAAAAATTGGTTTCTGTCTCCTCTTTCAGAATCCCTGTTGAGGACACCATTGCCAGCCAATGCCCCCAGAGCTGACACTGAGGTCTAGGAGTCAGACTGATGGCTGCCCTGTCATCCCCCACCATGTTCACAGGTATATTCAGAGGAGCCCCCTCCCCGACTTTCTCCAGGCCATTTCCATCACGGGGAGCGTGTAATAGGTCGAGGCCTACCTGGGGAAGGAGCAGGAAGCAGAGAAGGCGTGGGCTGCAGATCCTCCCCCTGGTCACACCCTTCCCGTGTGTAGACACCTCAGAATTGGCCAAGAGACTCAAAGACAACAGGGCACCTATGAATAATACTGGATCCCATTCTTTAGCAGAACACCTGGGTTCTTTCCTCCTAATATTGCCAGTCCTCACTGATATCTCAGAGGAATCCTGTGGAGGGCATGAGGAAGAAGGTGGGGTAGGCATCCAGATGACATGAGCACTCCCTCCCATAATGCCATTACTCTCTCCAGGACACATCACCTCTCCCAGGTCACCTAGCCCCTCCCAACCATGCACCCCAGTCTTGGCTTCACAGGGGCTTACTGGCATCTCAGCCAAATAAGTAGTGAGTGCTCCATGCGGTGGGTCACCAAGGATAGATTCGTACCGCATTTTGCCCGAAGGCTTCTAGATGCTTTTCTGATGTCTGTTCAGGATGAGAAAAGATCCTTAATGTACCAGCACATTCCTCCCCTCCCATTTAGACCTCTGAATTAAGAGGAGAGTGTCTAAGAATCCCTGGACCCCTAATGATATGCCTCAAGTCTAATCCATCCATATTCCCAAGGGAGTGCCCCAACCTTCATCCCAGGAACACCTGTTCTACTGTAAGCCCCCTCTGCCTCTCTTTTTGAGCTATCTGGACCCATAGATTGAAGGCCTCTGCTGATAGTCTAAGAATATGAAAATCAGTTGTCTCTAAACCCAGCTGCCCATGAGCCCTCTGCTATCCACCATCTCTGACTTTAGTTTCCTCCTCAAAATAATGAGGGGTTCAGATAAGCCAGTGGTCCGAATTATAGGAAGCTGGGATGCTTCCTTTAGATGACCAGTTCACCACATGGCTAAATTGGCTAAATGTCCTCATTGTGTTGGGGAGGCAGAGTCTGGAGGACAGATTCTCATACTGTTGGAGGCACTAATGATGGACCCAGACTTCCAGACAAGGATTGTTTCTCTCCCCACTGTCCACAGCTCACTCATAGGCTGTCAGAAACTTCTCCCCATAGGTCTCCTTGACCTCGGGGATGACCTGGTCTGATAGTTCCTTGAGGTTCTGTAAATGCCTCTCAGAGCTAGCTGCTCATATTGGTCTCGAAGTAACAGAGTTCGATCGCAGCCACCTTCATGCCAAGGTGGGAAAGCTGCCTCCTGCAAGACAGGCATGCAGAAGGGCAAGGACTTCAGAGGTGTTGGGGGGCAAAACACAAAAAACAAAGAAACTCAGCACAAACCCAGCACGCAACGGCAGTGAGAGACACTAGAAAGCTTGAAGAGTTGGGAAGGGCAGCAGATAGCAGAAAAAGTTATGATGGTGGCTTTGCCTCAGTGTAGGGTTTCCATATTTTACGTACTGGAGCAGACTAGCCCTAAATCCTACCAATTCAAGAGCAAGGCAGCACCTCAGTGCTGTCACCTCCTATGCCCCTCACAGCCAATGGATCACCAGAATTCCCATGTTCTATCTCCTCTGCCCCCTCCCTTCTTCTGCTGCAAGAATCTCCCTGGAGCTCGAGCTGGGCGATGGCAGCTTTCCTTTAAAGAGCACCCCTCTGCCTTCAGCCTAGCTCCGCACGCTGGGCTCACTGTAGTCAGGCGTGTCTAGAAGCCAATTAGACCAAGGAGCTCCCCTGAGCAAATCCCTTTTTTGGGGGTTCCACTGCCAACAGCATGAGGCACAGCTCCTGTCCAGGGCCTCCATGAGCCCACGTGCACCCACCTGCCCAGCTCCCCCACAGGCCTGGCCCTGTGCTTCACCCCACGAGGACCCCACAGCACAGGCAGGTGGCTGAGGCTCCCCCTGGACCTGGGCTGAAGACACAAGTCATTCTCCTATTTCTGTTCAAGGCTGCCAGGTGGGGATCCTCAGTCTTCAGCTCAGACCCCATCTCCAGGATCTTCCCCGACTCAGGAGGCTGCCATGGCCAGCAGGGCTGACTGGGTCACAACCCCTGTGAGAATTGGTAACAAGGATTCTGGCTCTCCTGCCCCTCTCTCAGCTGTCAGAGCTTTTAGGTCAGGGCCAAAATCTTGTTGTTGTCCTAGGCTGAGTTTATTGGGCACTCCCAAGGGCCTAAAGAGCCTGTTGTTAGGACTCAG